TTTTTTAATGCCCTCCTCTGTTAGCAAGCCACCCTGACTGTTAAAGAGTTTTATGTTCTCCTCCGCCCCTGCGCACATGCCTTCGGAGCATTGCTCATAAAACCTCATCTCTGCAGAATCAACAAATTCTAGCCCTGGTGTTTCAGAGGCGGACAGCGTCCAGGAGATTTTGCGCAGGAGTCCTAGACCTCCTTAACCCCCTGTGGTAGCGCTCCATGCTGTCCTCACCCACACCCGCGGCTGAGCGCTCGTGTGCACGCCGGCGTCTTGCCCTCGCTGTCTCCAGCCCCGGCTGCTCTGCTGTGCGCCAGCACTGCAGGGACTTTCCGCGGAGCAGCCAGGGCAACAGTGCGCAGAAGGTCAAAGGCCTTTGCTTTTCCTCGCTCCTAGTGTAAGTCACACACCTACTTGCGCCCCATTGCAAGTCCCATGTGTCTCCTGCTGGACTCCAAGAGGCCCTGTCACCATCATCCCCGTTGCCTTTTACCTACAGACATCTCAGGACCGCTGTGTGCACTGCCCACAGACAGGAGTCTCTGTTCATCTTCCCCTCCCACTGCAGCACAGGGCTGTGTGCAGGTTGTGGATGAAAGGAAAATTCTTTGACCTCAGCCTGGTTCAATACTGGAACTTACTTACTACATCCCCAATAAACCATCATCTCATTCACTTTCTTCAAATAAAGAACTGGTGAGAGTGGAAGTGGCCCATGTGCTGATAGCCCTGGTGCTGGTTGGGGCAGGGACATGTCTGAGCACCTGGGAGAGGTGCCTGGCTGGGGACAGAGTGGCAGAACGCCTCCTTGAAGTGCAGCACCAAGGCAGATGCTCAGGGACACAGTTGTTAAATGAGTGACATCAGACGTAAGCTCAGTTCTTTTATGTTAAAATATCCTATCTATGACACAAACCACACTCTGGCTCTCTGCCAAGATCTCCCAAGTGACTGGGTTTTGGTCATTCCCCAAGGATCTCCGGGAGGGACCTACATTGACCACAGTGCCACACGTCTTGAGGGAGAAGAGGATGTTGACATGGGTGCCGTTGGACACGCCTCGGCAGGAGGTGTTTGTCAGGAAGAGCTCCAAGCCACCAACCAGCTCCCTGGGGACACTCACTTCAATGGCATTTGACTTGCACACCACAGGGACTGCAGGAGAGGGGCTACTGTTAGAACTGAAAACTGGGTGGGGAGGAAGAGCGAGGATGACTTATTGGGGAAACAAAATGTCTGTCACACAGCCTGCACTTTCTGTTGTACCTTTCAGGGATCAGTGGTACCCAAAACAAATTGGTGAGTAAAACCAGGATTCCTAACTCCCATGATTGTGGTCAAAGAATGCCCCTCAAACACATTCCCTGAAACAGGAAATACTGTGTTCAAGTTGCAGTTCAACACACATTTGTTTACAAGGGAGGCTAGCATAACTTCAAGGAATGAAACACCTGGAGGATTAATTTTTAGCACCAGTGCAATTTATTGGCAGTTACAAAAAAAAGCATGCTTTGATATTGGTTTAAATGACATAATGGTGCTGCCTTGATTTTACTGTTAATTACGGCCCCATAAAGCACAGGTAATAAGCAGTGTTACTGCAGCTGGGGAAGGCATCCAATTGTCCTTGCACTGCTCCGTAAACCATAAACTCTGACTATAAAATCCACTTTAACTTAATATAAAAAGATTGTTTTTCCCTCATATTCCCATGTTCATGTTTCCAGACTGCAAATATCCCCAAAGGAATACTAGTAGGTGCAATATGGGTAGCCACATCACAACAAAGGAATATGTGACAAATGAGAAATAAGTGCTTGTTAATATATTTGCTGGGTGAGTGAATTAATATTCTGGGTACTGAGAACTGGATTTCTAGAAAATAGTTCTCAGGAGCTGGCAGATGGGAGAAGAATCCATTCCTCTTAGGGCCGGCCAGATAGCTCATCAGACTAAAGCACCTGCTTAGGCAGACACGGGGCCAGGGTTCGATCCCGGGGCCCTGCCCCCGGGTGTGCTGAGACACAATGCACCTGTAATCCCCGTGCTTGGAAGGCTGAAAATATGAAGATCACTACAAGTCCGATCTGTGTAGTGAGACCCTGTACCCAATACATAAAGAAAAGAGAATCACATCAAATCTTATGCTTCAAATGGAAGATGAGTCATACTGTGAGCCACAAGAACCCAAGAAAAATCAAAGGTAAACAGTAAAGGAAGGTGAGCTCTTGGCAATCATTTTTCTTAGAGAACTCGGACTGATTCTCAAGTGATGGCCCGGGGACACATATGGCTCAAAGGTTGTCCTGAAAAATGAAAATCTGATATGCTTGGCGGGTGGTGGCAAGGGATGCAGGGCAGGAGGAAGCATAAAGGAGAGCAGAGGTGAAGCCCTTCCATGTTCTACCTTGGCAAGTGTGGTTGTCATCAGCTAGCACCAAGCCACGGGGACACTCACACTGGTAGCCCTTCTCCGACCCAAGGCAAGAGTGGCTGCAGCCACCATTGTTATTGTGGCATCCTTCAATGTCTGCAGGAGAAATTAACAGAAAAGGGAATCATCTCGTGCCCCTCTTCCCCTTGGGATCCAGCCACTTATTATCAGGGTTTATACTTGACTCACAGCAATACCCTTGCCGTCCAACCCAGTAACCAAGGTATGTGCCCAAATGCACAAGTGTTGGCTGAATGTTGTAGCTACAAAGAGTAAGCTTCCAGTGTCCACAGCTCTATCCACTTAAGCTGCCCAGACATTTTGCAGAAGGTCCTTTGGTTTTGCCTGATGTTTTTTCTTAACTGGGGTTATGGTTCCCCCCCACCCAGGAGTAAGACCCAAAAGTCATGTTCTAATTGCTGTAACATTTAATGCACCCAATTATTGATGAAAAGGCACCGATAGTGTATAAATTCAAGTGGATCAGCTGGGCGCACCAGAGTAGCAGCTAGTTGGCTGGATCACAGGCTCTCTGCTGAGTCACAAGGATCAAGAGCTGTGGGGATAAAAGGCCTTAGACTGACAGCACATTATAAAACCAAAGGCCTTCGGCAGTGGTGGCGAACCTATGGCTTGGGTGTTATTTTTCTTTTAAGATAAAAGATGTTGATGTATGAGTTCTTTTTTTCTAATCTAAAACCTCAGTAATCAGATTTAATTGCAGGTTGGCACTTTGTGATAAGTAAGTGGGTTTTGGGTCGAAGTTTGGGTGCTGGGCTCTAAAAGGTTCGCCTTCACTGGCGTAGGAGCTGGGGGTAGCTCTGTGTAGTGCAGTTGCCTAGCATGCTCGACACCTAGAATTCAATCCCTATAAGGGGGATAAAAGTATCAAACAATACACTGAAAATCCATTCAATCAACTCTTGGTGATAAGTTTCTTATGAAATTTTTTCCTATGAGTTTTAAAAAGTTTTGTCTTTTTAGTGTTTACATTTTCAAAACATATTCTCAGTGGAGAAAAAGAAAAATATTCAACTAAAAATTGAAGAAACTATCACATGACTGAGCTTAGCAGAAGAAAACCTGGAGGTCCTGGGCACTGTCTTCTAGTCCAGGCGTTGTCAAATTCTCCCCTGCTACCCTTTGCTTCCCACAGTTTTATTGGCACACAGCTTGTCCATGTGTTCACCTGTTTCTGGGGCTGTTTCTCACCGTGTGGGCAGAGATAAATACTTTTACTGATTCTGTATGGCCCACAGAATCGAAATATTTACTCTCTGGACTTTCCAGACATTTGCTGGCCCCTGTTCTATATTATACTTGGGAGGAAATATTTCAAATTATCTGAGATACTTAGGGAAGCACGTAAGCTGATTCTCAGGTATGGATATAACCATCAGTTCAATGATAGCAAAAAAAAAAAAAAAAAAAAAAAGAAAGAAAGAAAGAAAGAAAGAAAAAAGAAAAGGAAACTAATCATTTAGAACATCAATAAATTAACTTTGGATAAATAATTGTGAAACATATACAGAATAAATTGGCAATAAATTAATCTTTACAAAACTTGAAGTATATTTAGCCTATCACTGATTATGGGTTTTAGAAATGGGTGAAATTATATGTGACAGTGTGGAAGAAAGCATAAATATGCTGTAAGATGTTATAATTAATAGGAAATTTGTTTTCTGAAAGATGACCTCTTTTCGGTGCTCGTGCTGGGAATCAAAGCCAGGGCCTCAGACATGCTAGATACGTGCTCTACCACTAAGCTACCCCTCTGGCTCCCAAAACTAGCTTTCTTAAGCCATCGTGTTTCTCTGAATTCTAATGATTCTAATTTTTGTAAGATGAAGGAATCACCTTAAATATTCACTCAGAATGTTTCTAGGTCAAAACATGCAGGCAGTGAAAAACTTAAAAATCTAAATTGCTTTAAAGGATTTAAGTCTTCAGGAGGATGTACCAAAACATGTAACATGGCCATCTATGGTAAGGGGGGTTGTGGGGCATTTCAATTATCTTCCTTTTACTCTGCTGTATTTTTTCCTATGGTTTTATAATAAAATTACTTAAAAATTACAAAGCTATTTTTTTATTTCAAAAAACCTTTTATCTATTTATTTGGTACCTCACTACATAGCTCAGACTCATTGTGATTTTCCTGTCTCAGTGCTCCCCAGCCCTGGGATTACAGGCGG